ATCAAGGTGGCTCTCACACCTGAGCTGCACAACTGTTCCTCATCCCAAGGAGCTCAAGCCTTATTGAGGAGCAGGAGGCCAAAGAACTACCCTGACAAAGCTGCTCTATGACTATTCCAAAAGTAGATTCCTGGGTGGTTACTTTAGCTACTCTAAGCATGAACAGACTTCTCAGATGGGACTTAAACCTACCTCTTATTCTTCCAAGGAATTTGGATTTTGTGTTTGTTTATGCTCTTTCTTACCCTGCTCCAGCAACAGGGCCAGTCCTTAACAGCCATTCACTGGCAATCTTGGCACTGTAAGAGCCCAGATGCCAAGCTTTGAATTCTTGTTTTCTTCCCCTGCCTGCTATAGCAGCAACATCTGCGCCTGTGGTTGCTTCCTGGCTGGCCTCTTATCAAGGCTTCTTCTCTGACTTTGTGGCTAACTCCAGTGCTGTTTGTGATGACAGCTGTTGTGCTGGTGCAGAACCAGCCATCTGGTGACTGACTTGTCCTCTTGGACACTATTTTCTTCCAGCTGTCAGGAATTTATTGTTGGACTGGAAATAATTTGCTATGTAAATACATTCTTCATCGTATCCACGCTATTACTTCTATGGGCAATGCAGTGGTCCCATCACAGTTCCCATATCTGGGTGCACCCACAGCCAGCTCCTCTCAGTATAGGGAGGGATGGGTATGATCACTCAAGCCCAATGTAAGTTTCAACAGTTTCAGGCCTGGAAGTATGATCTTTTGACTCTTAGGATTTAATAAGCCCTCCCCAGCATGCCCATGCCTGTAGAAATACAGATCACCCCAGACCGCAGCTTCTCTGAACTCTCTAAAAAGAAATTTTTGCCACTTGGCTCACGTGGTTTGATAACCACATCCATTCCTAGCTAGCCTGTCTCGGAGGCACGCTGCTAACAGAGGCTGCTTGCTCTCTCTCCACATCATGCTTCTGATCTGCAGACTTCTTATCACTGCCCCTCAGATCCACAGTGACAACTGAAGGCCTCGTTAATGCCCCTGTTCCCCTCAGGCAGACAGAAAAACAGAGGGTCTGCTGCTCAAGAACGTACATTGCATTTCATCCTTTTTTTCCCACTGCATAATTTTTTATTGGACTGAAAATTTACAAATTCATGATAGTGTGTGTCCTGAGGGAAGCTATGCCTCCTTAAGACTGTTAACGTAACAATTATCCTACCAGCTATAGTTGTAGAAACCATTTCTATTCACATATCTAATCTGTCATTTAATCATCTCATTTGCTCCGTTAAGACTTGAGATAAGTCCAGGAAATTCTAAGGGTTTTCTTACATTTTAATTTTGATGCAATCCTTTATCCATCAGTGGTACAATCAAATTGTTCTGTTCTACAGAAAAAAAAAAAAATCTGTCTTCTAAATACAAACATAAAGGAGCCACATTATTCCATTTGGCTTCTTAGCAGAAGCAGTTTTCCTCAAGGATGTCCAAGTGTTGTTTTCCCTGACACCTAGCACTTCACAAAGGTGAGGTTTTTGGTTTGAGGGTTTGGGGGTTTTAACTGACTTGTGGGGAATGCAGAGTTCATTCAGTACATGTAGACTGGGACAGCAGTAGTTCACAATCAGAAGTTAATTTGCAGGACTGGAATTGCTGTATAAATTTCAATTTATTTCAGCTTCATTCCCCTGAGGCAACAGCCACAAGTCACTACCACCAAATGTTTTCCTGGTAGAGCTGCACAAGATTATTTCCACCCGGGAACTACCAGGAGAAAATTAAAGAAAGACGCACAAAAACGAGAATGTAAGCGTGTCCATCCCTGTAGTTTTTACTGAAATATGGACTGCCAAATCCTGGATGCTTGCATTTAAAAAAAAGACAATGAAATTGAAGTATTTATGTAAACTCTCCATTTAATGGAAAAAAGCATACCTTTCCCAGAGAAACATAGCAGGATTTTCAGTTTTACAAGTTCTATTTTACCTCTTTCCTTAGAAAGGAATTATTTTTTTCAGCCAAATAGCCTGTCCCTTTCTCCACACCCTCTCCAAATGCACAACTGAGTTTTCCATGCTACTGGCCTCTCAGCAGCAATACAGCACTCTTGCAACCTCCTCAGCTATTCATATTTTACGCATAATCCAGGCAATCCCCAAAACTAACGCACAGCCCGCAGCAGCCTGACCCTGCCGCACCCTCTTGCGCCAGCATCTCCTGCCACAATGCCAAAGCTGGTGAGAATTGTCCAAGGTCAGCCTGCGCCAAGGAAGTCAAACCTTGATGGAGACCCAGCTCTCTGGCTAACGTCCTACCCTTTTAGCATGGCGTAAGGATGGTTGCAAAGGTGTAAGGTTATTACGTTAACGTCCTCTACAGTTCATAACAGATGAATAGCGGTAGGACAAGAACAGTTGCTTCTCAGGGCTTTTGAAGGTGTTTTTTTGCCTTACAAGAAAACCATGAAGAGAAAACAGCAAATGGAGATAAGCTGGGACTTCATTTTATACAAAAGTTCTATTGAAGTGCTTTTGGGACACGAGCCACACAAGCACACTAGTTTCAAAGCTTCAGCCCTCCACCACCTCACCAGGAATGTGGCCCAGGCTCTGTTCAGCTCCGTTCCTTCCAGCTGGCCCTTGGCAACCTGCTTCCCTGCATTCGTAACCCCTCTCTCCCCAGCCCTGTGTCGTAACACGCTGGTAACAATAACATTTCTGAAATCGAAATGCTTTGCAGGCCAAAAAGCTGAGCTCAATCAACGCAGGGGGAAAGCAAACCACGGAGAGCTATTGTTTCTGAAAACCGTCCAAAAACTCTTGGCGCTGAAGGCATTCCCAATGTCCTTTGCACTATTTCCAGGAAAAATGATTCCCAAGGCCTTACATATTTAAAAAAAAAAAAAAATCTGGCTTATATCAATAAATAAACATTATAACTGCTGTATTTTTTCTCTTTAATCACAGCACATTGCATGTAGAAGCAATCAGAGCTGATACAAATAGCCTGTTTTAAGGGTAGCATTTCAAAACTCAAATTCTCTGTTGAGGAACATAAATTTACTCCTGGGACTCCTGAACCTGAACATCATCTTCGACTACATTTATGTAATGCAAGTTCTTGAAGAAAATTTGTGGGCAAATGTTGGTGGAATAATTGGCAGGAAAGGCAGAAGCATGGTTTCTGTAATTAAATAGACTTACTCAACTTGTCTGTGTTGGGGCAGAAGCAATGCCTGCACCAGTGGTTGGGTTGCAAGCCTAGAAACAGGATTGCTGAGTCTGTTCTCAAATCCTAACATGCTGACTTCCACAAGTCATTCAAAGCGCAGGGGTGTCGCATGGAGAGGTTAAAGGATTTAGAGGAAATGAGGGGTCCATCTACCTTCCTTATTTCCTACCTGATACAGGGAACCCCATTTGCAATTAAATTGTAAATGAAGTTAGACTCGATGGCATACAGTATGTGGCCCAGCACAGATGCAACTTCAGGCAATATCATGGTTAAGAACAGTGAATCAGTACCAGACCACTGACAGTCACCACTGAGTTACTCCCATATATTGTTGTTACTAGCTGTGCAATATAATAAGTGAGTTGCACTTATAATCCAACACAACCAAGTAAGAATTTGCAGACATCCCTTTTCCAGGATAATAGACTGTATTTTTTCTCATTTTAGCTATTCTGAGAGCTGAGAGACCCTTCTGTTCTCTGGATTATGAGCTGGTTTTGCAGTCTTACATAGCAAAAAGAAAAAAAAGCTTTGAATGTCTCGGTTCTTCCTATCCACAGGGTCTCAGGTGGGTGGCGTTGGAATGAGGAACTTATAAATGAAAACTTAGATGATCAGGAGATAAAAGAAAGGATTTAGGAAAGGTGTGAAAAAAATAAATGGCCTTATTTTGAAATTTATATCCACCCCCTGCTCCAAGAATCATATTTTGAAGAGATAAGCAAGAGTCTAGTATCCCTGTGAGAACAGCGAGAAGCTTCTGGTTTGTTTTCAGATTTCACCCACGTGTTGGCTCCACCACATTCCCATCGAGGAACCGCTGCCCTTTTGGGAAGGCACTGTGCAATGAAATAGTTTTTCAGGTACATTCACAAAAATGAAATTATGGCTTAGGGTATTTTTTTGGTTTTGCAAACAAATGGTGCACTTTATTATGTTTTGCCTCACATCTCTATCACCTCTCTATCTGTCAGCCTTTCCAAATGCTTAACCTTACTGCAATATTTAACATGGGCGTTCTATTTTCAGAATAATTGTGAAACCCTTTATAAGCCATGGAAAAATAAAGAACAAAGATCTACTTAAACTAAAACAGTTTCATTCCTTTGTTCAGCCAAATATACCTCCAGTGCTGTGATTTCACAAATATTATTAAAAATACATACTCAGTTTATTACACAGGTTCAGGGCAAAGGGCTGTGTGATGAGGTTGGGGGTGGTTTTTTTTGGTTTGGTTTTGGGTTTGTTTTTCTTTTTTATTAATAGCTTCACAGCTACTCTACTTCAAAGATTTCAGCCTTAAATATGGGACTGAGTATTGGGAAAACCTCATTTAGTTATGTAATATCTGTGGATGGGTAAGCCAGGTTTCTTGTCATAGCAGCTAATCCTAGCATTGGTAAACCCTGCTGGCATTGCTGGGTAATGGGATTCCCATGCTTGAGGCGTTAATGCCTCTGGGACATCTCAGTTACTGCAGCCAAGAGAACAAACTCTTCTGTGTTACTGCTTTTATAAATATGGTCCCCAGTTCAGTCTTTTCGTAGTTTGTCCACAACAAAGTTACCACCACCTTTACAAAGAAGACAGACATGAAATTGTGAAGCCATTCTGAGCCAATGCAGAGCTGAATGAAAAAGTATTTCATCTCTTCAGCAAAGAAATACAGTACCTTTATAGTGACTAGGAGAAAGCTCAGTTAAGCATAAAGTTAGGCTTCACATACATAGTAAAGAGTAAGAGTGCCAAAACCTTGGCTATAACCTGATTTACTTCCCTCCACTGCAGAGACCCCTGGAAAAGCCGGACGGCCTGGATGTTTCCGATCAGAGCAAAGAACATCCCCAGCATCTGTGTGAGAAGTGCAAAGTTTTGGGCTATTACTGCCGCCGTGTGCAATAAACCTTCGGAGTGGCCTCTTCCCGTCCCCATCATCCTTAAAGATCCTCTGGCAGCATGCGATCAACAGCAACACAACAAATGGAGATAAAAGCTAAAATAATTGCCAATATTGCCTATCTAATAATATGCCTTACCATTAATAGAATGTCACATTTCTCCTGTGCATGCACATGCATGCAACAGGTATTTACAGGACTATGATTGGTATACATATATATATAAATTTACATATATGTATGTACACACACACGTTACTGACAGTGTTCACAACAGAACCACGGTTTCAGGTTCTGCTGATTGTTTACACAGACCCTATATCATGGCCAGGTGGAATGAAGTACTATTCAATAGGCAAGGTATAATATTCACAAGGAATATATGTTATATGTATGGCTTTTGTAGAGGTTAAGTAACTGTGGGGCCAGTAATTGCAAGCACTCGCCCCTAACATGAACATTATTCCTATTGTATGACAAGACAAAGGAAGATGAAACAAGCCACAGCATAAAAGAAGGAAAATTGTTTTCCCACTTTTAGAAAGTCCCAGAGTTTGGTGCTGCTGCTTTCTTGGACTTTTTCCATTTGTTACCATCACTTGGGCAGGGCTCAGGCAAAATCGGTTTTGCAGGATGCGGCAAAAAAAAGTGAATAATTGTTTGAGGGTGTGGGTTGGGTAGAAAGGGAATACCATAACGGGACCCAGAGCATCAGGAAGGATTCCAAGAGGTTTTTGGAGGAGACAAAATTGGCTTGATTGTGAAACTAACAGATCCTTCTCTTGTCATATAATCCCACTGAAATAGTCCCTGTATGTCTATAGGCTGTTCATTAAGCCACAAGCACACAAAATTTACTGTGAATAAGGGGGGGATACATATACTTAAAACTGCCCCTAAAACCCTTAATTGAAATATTAGCCAAACTTACTATTTATAATAGTTTAAAGCCACTTTCTAGAAATATTTTTATGTCCTGTTTTCTACTGTACAAATTTGTTACAATATAAAACTTGTTAGCCATAAGGGTGTTACGAGGCATGGCGAACACTCTATATAACCTCCCCTCTTTATGTCTTCCTGAAACACCTACATACCTGCGCAGAAATGTAGGAGTTAGATTTCGTTGTCCCATTTCAGGTAGAACTTTGTGTAGGGGCATCCTGCTACAAAGAATTATTTCATCAGGGATTGGGAAATACCATGAACTGAAAGTACCTCGAGACAGTATCCTGTTTGTATGTCTACATAAGAGTACATTGGCAAAAGAACACAGCAAGCAATTCACTGGCATTATTCACTAAAAAATTACAGGGATAGTGTTTGTTGGGGTTTTTTTTTTAATTGACAATTTCTATTTTTATCAAGTTTCCTTTAGAGATTGGTGTGAATGATACTTAGTGAAAATATTTTAAATCTGAAATAACTTGATGTGAATTAAATTTGTTTTGAGGATTAATTCCATAACGTTAAGACAGAGAGGTTTTATGCTAAGTTATAGCAGGAAGGTACCAGTACCTACCGTCAAGCTCTTGTAAAGGAAGACTTACAGCGAGGATTCATATAGGAAATGTGAAGCTCTATACATTTGCTCTAGAGTGAAACTTTTGCCATTTCCCTGCTTTGGTATAAGCAGGGCCAAGTTGTTTCTGCTTATTCTGATGGTAGTGTCACATTCGTATCTCACAGATGTCATTCTTTATGGGTAGCCCGAGCGACCCAGCCTTCTGTTGGAGCAATGGATTAACACTGGGACTCCTGGCTTCTGACCACGGCTCTTCCATTAGCTCCCCGGTTTGGGGCAAGTCACAAGGTCCTTCTGGACCTCAGTTTCCCCAGCTGCAAAATGGGGATAATAATACTTTAGCATACCTACCTCACAGGAGAGTTGTGAGGTTTACTTAATACCTGTAAGTGTTTTGACATCACTGGATGAAAAGTGCTATGTAATGCTAAAATAGTATGAACTGAATTAATCCCTTCAAACCTAGTTTTACCCAGCTGGCAATTCCATCACCTAAAATAGCTGAAAATAACATTGAAAGTTAACACTAATAACAGTTCAGTTGCCTCAGTGAAGATACGCAGTTTTAGCATTTTGAAATGGAAACGCTTTCTTTTGCACAGACTCAGAAATTACTTGGAGGCAAATTCTCTGAACAAGGATACTAATCTGCCTGTACAAATAACAACAAGAAAATACACAGGCAAATCTAGGGGTGGATTTTCAAAGATTGACCTCTAGTATTAACCTTGGTATTTTGTCTCAAGCTCAAGTAATATTGAAAGAACAGTGTACTAAACCAGTTCTATTTTTAACACATGAGCACTTAATACATGAACAAAAAAAATGCCTTGATGCTTCACATCCAGCTAAAGGACATGTATAGAAACCCCCTTAGATGAAGATAAGGGAAAAAGGTATTTTACTTTCATCCTGAAACTAAAAGATGTTGCTATCAACCATGTTTTCTGTGTTGAAATAATGTCCCTCTTCTGATAACCACTAGATCAGTCAAACAGCAGATCCCTAGATACAGCCACATCAGTATACAGCACACCACCAGGTTCTGAACAAATGCCAAATAAAAGACACCATTATATGCAATTGTTGCTATTTTCATGACAATGCCCTGTTAAAAGTTGTTTATCCAGATTCAACGCTGCATGGCAATGCCTTTAGTTATGGATTTTTAGGTTGTACTTTAAGGTTCCTAAAAATACACGTGATAGACTTTAAAACAATTAATGTCTGTAGGTGTAGAATGATGTTTGTTAAAAGCCTACTTTTGAGAGTTCAGTGTGTGTATCATTGATACTTTGTATGTCTGCTGCCTAAGAAAATATGTAAGCAATATTCAGCATGTTTGAAATAACAAGGAGGAGGACAGATTTTCCCCTGCACTTCTGTCAGGGAAGAGCAGATGAACAAAACGCGCAGGAAAGCACGAAATGACACTGCCGTAGTTTGTACTGCCTAAACTCTTAGACACAAATCCGTCACGCTGCAGGATGCAGATGCAATCAGTTTCTGGGAGCCCCAGGGCTGGAAGCAGCTTGCTTGCCTTGCCATCCCTGCCCAAAGTGAGGTGGGAAGGGAGAGTAACTGGGGGTCACTGGGGAGCGGCCACAACCCTCCCACCTTTGCAGTCAGGGGGCTGAACTCCGGCTTCCCCCCAGCCATAGGAAGACATGCTCTTGTTTTCTGTCCTCACTGCACAGGGCTAAAACCTCACCTCCGTAACGAGCTGGTGCCTGGGGAGTGTTCCTCTGTGCCTCCCTGCATGAGGTTTGCTCGTAGGATTGTAGCATTCAGCCCCAGGCACTTGCCCCACTCTTGTCTGTATACAGTTTGTGGGTTGCTGGATAAACACATCCACATAAGTAACATACAATAGCATGTGGCCGTTGGCTTTTAGTTAATGGCACAGAAGGGAAATTTCTGAATTTTGATTTCAAAAAAAGAAAAAAAAAATTGACTACAAAACGTAAATTTCTCCTCTTCCCACGCCCCCAAGGTAATTCAGCTACAGACCTGACTCCAAACTAGAAAAAACTTTAAAATGTTGGGTTTTTAGTGAATAGAGGATGAGATGATTTACCCCTTAGATTTTTTTCTGAATGCTGTCTGATGTTCCCTTTAACCTGCTCTGCATTTGAACATCAGGCAGTAACCCTTGAACACATTTTTGCAGTCTTACCAGACGCAAAGCAGGCATCAGTGAAAAGGGTTTTAAATCAACACAGGCCTCCCTGAACTGAGTATTCCTAGGGGTTTACCCAAGAGAAATTTGGGTCTGTGCATTTAGGTGGCAAGCTTGGTTTTTAACTTCAGGTGCTTGCTTTTGCCTGCCTACCATCCCATCCAGCACACGCTCCCCCCACCCCCTTTGGGATTATTAAACGTTTATTTCATGAAAAAAAACAAAACACCATCCTAAACACAAGTTGTTTCCTCAGTCGGTCAGACCATTTCAGACAGAATTCATCCTTGGCATTGGCACTGCTCTGGAAAGAAGTTTCAGTGATTTGAAATGCGTGCTGTAGGTTTTTAGCTGCTTTAACCTGATGCGGCTCTACCGAAGTTGTTAAAAATGCTTCATTTAATGGTGATGAAGAAAACTCCTGTAGTTTAAAGGATGGCCCCATTTTAGCCAGTTTCTACTGCTGCTACGACAGACATAAAACAATGCCACACAAGCAACATTTGAGACTTTTTTTCGTCTCAAAGTTGCTTTTTAATTTTCAGATAAATACACAAGAGTATATATTATTTCTGAAAACAGGTGTATTTTGAAGTTCCCCATTATATGGGACTTAGTTTGTAAACTAAAAAATGTGAAGTTATCTATGTCTGAGAGAAGCCTTATGCCGAGAAGTATTCTCTGTATTTTACCTTTTGGTATAACGTGAAATTTAGGTTATACATGGGTTGCATACCTGGGACACTCTAGCGGTTATTCCAAAAAGAAAACTACTTAAAACATTAAGAGTTAAGAGCTTTTGGAAATACCAGACTTCATGGATTAGTTCTCTTAGTCCTGCAGTCATGTAGATTTTTTTTTTCCTAGTATGGAACCTAAGAGTTGTCTGCTGAACAGTATGCAATGTATTATCAACATGTGTTTTTCAAGTTAAGTGAATTGACATACATTTGCCACTTGCCTTTGCCAAAACATTTAAAAATGTGATGGAACTATCCCCATACAAAAATGACTCTTAAGATATCACTCCACTCCCGATTAGGCTTCATCCCATATCTCTTTCCTATCTGCAAAACCACTGCTGTCCACTCAGTTTGCTATATTGCTGAAGTGCTCAGAGGGCTGTTGGAGGTCTTAGATATAGGGATGATGGTTTGTGCTTCTAGGATGAATTTCAAAGGGACAATCGTGTGCAGTTACTAGCTATAGACGACTGATATAAATGTTTACCCCTGTATGAAGTATTTTACAGTTTTACTTGCAGATGTGTATTTATCTTGAGTTATACTTGACATAGAATTTCTTTCAATTTTTTTTTTTTAATACTATGTGTGTATTTTGGAAACCTTTTTAGATGTTAAAATTTTTGAATGGTTACAAATATTTCTTGTAATACTGAATTGTTATCTTATCTGGAAACTCTTTGCAGTAACTTTTTTGTATATATTTGAGGGCCTTTTTAAAAAAAGTATTGTTTCTGCTTTGGGAAAAAAGTTTTTACAATTTGGAAGCTTTCAGAAGGGCCTTCCTCTCAACTAGGATACTAACAGAGGTAAGAGTTTTCTTAAGTATTTTGCAGAAGTAAGGATGTATCCTCAAGAAAATATTTATGGAAGTAATTTACTTTTTTTTTTTTTTTTTTTACAATGCTTTTGTCTGTATAAAGTATGCAACAGAACTACATTAAGAAGGAAATATTGTCTACATAAAATATTATATGAAAGTTGGTACATAATTCTGACAAAAAACCTTGCAATTCTTTAAGCCATATTGTTTTTGTTATCCTTGGGTGAAAATATCAGTATTAAGTAACCAGTAT